ACTTCTCTGTTGCAGCCATAGTTCTGATCAGTTGGTGGCAATAGTGAGTTGTAGTAGTGCTTACCTACTTCCTGTTAAAGTAGAAGAAGAAGCGGAAGCGGAAGTTGTCCTCTCTGCTAACACGTTAAACATCTCGTGTCTTCGTTATTTTTTCTGTTTCGATCGTTAAAATGAACGAAGCGAATAAAACGCAGGAGTTTGATTCGTATGAGATCGAGGAGCCGAGTGACGAGGAGGGCGCCGCCAGCAGGTCGGACTCACGCGAGACACTCAGCTGCGGCTAAGTAGCGGCTAGTTGGCTTTATGCTAACGTAAACAAACGTTATAGAAGTGACGACAGAGCGGTTAGCTAACAATGCTAACTTTGTTTCAGTACTGTTTATTAACGCAACGTGAATCTAAGATATTCTGATCATATTCAACGATAATAACTCACATAAGATTATAGTAATTAGTATTAGTATTATTAGTATTAGTAGTATTAGTATTAGTAGTAGTAGTACACACTCAGGAAAGGTCCTAAATAAGTCATTAAAATAACATATATGACATTGAAGTTACTCAAAAAGCAGCAGATTGTTGTGGTTACATCAGCCAAGTTAAATAGTGACATACACTCAGAGTATATATTGTGGTACATCGATAATATGAAGAAAAATGATATGGAGATAAAATGTCTCTTTATATGTTGACTTCGATAATTATCACGATAAATGTCACTTAAATATTTCTTTAAGATTCTAAAAGTGGTTGATTCCTCCTGAGTGAACGTTGGGGATCTAACTTGTTCACTAGCAGAGAAGGTCAAACACTTTAAATCCAGTTAAATGTTAAACCTCCTCGCTGTGTCTAATCATATTTATAGATGCTGGACTGGGTCATTGAAGTTAATCATTAAACTGTAAAATATCAAACCTCTTCTTCTCCTTCTTTGTCATAAGCATTTGATAACAACATCTTAAAAATCACTGTCAATTCATGAAAAAAATGTGTATTGATATAATTCGCCGTCATCGTGTTTCAGTTCGGAGGACGAGCTGGACGTGCTGCTGAACGGGACTCCGGACCAGAAGAAGAAGCTGATCAGAGAGTACCTGACGGGGGAGAGCGAGTCGTCCAGCGGGGATGAGTTTGAGAAGGAGATGGAGGCAGAGCTCAGCTCCACCATCAGGACCTTGGAGGGGACCTGGGGACCATCGACAGAAGGTGACACTGCATTTTATGGATGTGACCCAGTCTGATGTGAAACTATGAAATATCAAACTTCAGTTGCATTTGTTTGTTGTTGGGGTTTGATCACATCATCTTACCAATAATTGCAGAATATCAAGGAAATATATACTGTATATATATTTGATCCATCAGTAACTGACGTCTCATCTTTGTGAGACTGAACAGGTCCAGTTTATCCGCACTGTGAAACAGAACCTTAGTTTGAAAGATAAATTCATGTGTGTGTGTTAATTCTGCAGAACCAACCCCGGGAAATGGAGGAGGCGGCAGACCTGGACTCCCTAAACCTCAGATGTACGATAACGTCTACTTCGACTCTGACTCAGACGAAGAGGACAAACCAAGTAAGACTACAGCCTGAACATTTCCCCAGGATGTGTAATGAGAAGGTCGTCCCTTTGCTCTGGATGGATACTCATGTGAGATGCATCACTACGTCTGTTTCCTCTGCAGGCAGCTCCACAGGCCAGAGGCGGAGACAGCGGGTCATACTGACCAATGACGAGCTGCTGTATGACCCCGACGAGGACGACAGAGACCAGGCCTGGGTGGACGCCAAGAGAAGAGGGTAAGAGGACACCACTCAGAATTTGTTTGTCTAAAACAGATTTTCAAAAGATTTCTTCACCATGTGGTCATGTCGTCCTGTTCAGATACAACAGCAGAAAACGACCAGCAGGAGCGCTTCAGTCGCAGCCTCGTCGAAAGCAGGGTTTACCCAGTAGTGACGCCATTCTCAACTGTCCCGCCTGCATGACGATGCTCTGTCTGGACTGTCAGAGGTGGGACTTTAGGGGCCTGTACCGTGAAGTCAGCTCAACATTTGACAAAACGATGTTTTCGTTAATTCAGCTTCACTGAACCGTGTCATCATCCTGAAAACCTGATCTACGGAGCTTGTCTTTATTTATGAGCGACATCATCAGAAACATGAATAAAATTCATAAAGTCCATTTCACTCATCTATAGACACGTGCTGACATTTATTACTTCTCACTTTGCTGTAGGCGAAACTCTTTTCCCCTGTAAGGATCCTGTCGATCCATGACTCTTTATCTGATTGGTCAGTTGCTCGACCGTTATGTGATCGGTCTGTTACCGTCTGTTATCATGAACTTGACCTGCTCCGGAGTGAGTCAGTGGTTCAGCATGAGTTACCATGGTGATTCACCTGACTGTATGTTTGATCCACTAAAAAAGTCAGATCCTCTTTTCTCAGAACCAGCACAGCGGCTTCATTTACCCATGAAAGGTTGACTGGTAGGGTTAAAATATTTTTTTTAACCACGTGAACGTTTCTTGCTTATGTCCACTCAGGCATGAGAAGTACCGGACGCAGTACCGAGCCATGTTTGTCATGAACTGCACGGTGAAGAGAGACGAGGTGCTGCGATACAATACTCAGCAGGAGAGGAAGCAGAGGAGCAGGAAGAGGAGACGGGGACAGAAAACAGAAACACCTGCAAGCGAGGCTCCTGACCCGTCGCCGGCAGGGATGGACGCCGATGAAGTTTACCACCCGGTGCAGTGCTCGGAGTGCTCCACAGAGGTGGCCGTGTTCGATAAGGAGGAGGTGTACCACTTCTTCAACATCCTGGCCAGCCACTGCTGAGACGGACTGAGCGAGTGCGTGACACAGAGGTTGTTTTGAGAAGAACAGAACCATCAGCGTCCCGACTGAGAGCGAGACTCCTGCTGTGAATGTCAACAAGTCTCACGATCATGAATCTGAAAAGATTCACCGTCAGAGGAAAGCTACATACATGTTGGCAGCACGTCATCCATCTTTGAAACTTTTAAAATATCGGACAAACAGGAATTTGAATCTGCACGTTGCAGCTCTTCACTGTCGATACTGAACGTTCACACTCGAGTGATTCATGATTTCTGAGGCCAACACCCGTATTGATATTTCAGGATTTACAAATATTTGAGAGGCAGATCTTTTTTCTTTTTATTGAACACATCATTATGACTGATACGGGTGTGTTTTTTTTCAATGGTGTAACGAGTGAGACTTTTCTGAGACGTTGTTTTTTTCACCATCAACATATTGTTTATGATTTGTCTGTTGACTTTCAAACAATAATTATAGCTTATGATAATTTAACATTGGACAATTCTTTTGGAATCACTTTAAATTAAAGTTGTGCGGCCTCTGTCAGAACCTGTCAGATCACATGAGTGAAAGAGGAGCTGGATGCTGGAGTTTTTTGTTTGAATCGCTGAAGCTCTGGGCTTTTATGAAGTTGTATAAAAATTGATGCCAAATTTTCTATGAGGATGAGGCTGGCTTCATTGTGTCTTAGTTGTTGTCAGCGACTTCCATTAAAAACACAAACGTCAGATGTCTGTACCTGTGGCTCGGTCGGTGACCCAAGTCTGTAGATTCCTACTGAGGTACAGTAGAGAAAATATACAATATTATTGAAAGTGTTTTCCTGCCATGCTGAAAAAGAAAAAACATCAGATTCAGAATATAATTTTAGACAAATCACATTACAACCTGATGAAACGTATCGGTAAGACGTTAACTGTATCACAGAAGAACTTACAGTTGAAACAGGAAATCTATCGTATATAAAATCATAATTCATGTTCTAATGTGACAACCTATTGTTGTTATAACGTAAAATGGATCGCATCATAATGTAACAACTTAAAACACAGTCTGGGCTACTGTTAAAAACATGGCGGCCTCAGTAGAGAGGATGTAAAGATAAAGTTTTTAAATATAAACGGTCCAACTATCAGAGAACCAAACATATAAATCTAGAGCTTATTACATGTTCTAACCCTATATGGTAGTTTTGTGTTTGAACAATAAGTTATCACGTGATAATATGATACCGATTCATTTTTTTCTTTTTTATGTTGTGGCAGCAAAATGCTTTAGTTTCACCAAGACACAGATTCTGTAACTAAAAGACATTTAAAGGTTCACTGTGTAGAATTTAGCGACACCTAGTGGTGAAGTGTCACAACAGCAAACATGAACCTGTGGTGGCTTCAGTTGTCATTAAAAACTCAAAAGGTTTAGTTTGTCCAGTCTGAGCTACTGTAAAAAAAACATGTCTGCCTCGTAGAGAGGACCTGCTCCTGATGAAAATTCAAAGTACTTAAATATAAAGTATTTCAACATATAGGCTCGTTCTGGGTAAAGAAAACAACCATTTGTACAGTTTGATTAATAAACATGAGTGAAAACATCACTAGGATTCTTTTATATTCAATTACTGTCAATAGACCCTTTCACCTTAATCTTTAAATAAAAAGTTCTTTTTTACTTTATTTTGAAAAGAGGACGTTGGAACTCCCTGCTTACGTCAGAGCGGTGCGCTGAACGCGGGGCTGTGATTGGCTGAGAGGCAGCGCCGCGTGATGAGGCGTCAGCGGTCCCGTAACAGGAAGAAGACGGAGGTGAAGAAGAGGAGGAAGAGGAGGACGAAGAAGTGCGACCATGGCTCTGGGAGACTGTTGGAAACATCTGTCCTGGTTCTATTACCAGTATCTGCTGGTGACCGCGCTCTACATGCTGGAGCCCTGGGAGCGGACGGTGTTCAGTATCCTTTCACCTCTCTGCTAACGTGCTAACATGCTAACGTGCTAACATGCTAACCTGCTAACCAAACGTACGTAACAACAAGTGGTTCAGTCTTCAGGGGAAGTTTGTGGCTAATCCGGTTTAAACACCTGGTACCCGCGCGTCCCCGTGTCGAGAGTGAACCGGTTTAACGTGAACGAGCCCGCGATAGTTTTATTTAAAGTTGAACTGAAGAGAGAGAGAGAGAGAGAGAGAGAGACACAGACACAGAGAGAGAGAGAGAGAGAGACAGAGAGAGAGAGAGACAGAGAGAGAGAGAGACGTGTTTTTAATAATAAGGATTCCTGTCTGTGTTTTAATGGCCGCCGAGTTAAAGGCTCATCGCTTCCAGGTTTTAAATTCTCTCTGTTGTTTTTCTCTCGTTCGCTCAGAGGAAACGCTCTAAACGGATCAAAGGATCAAAGGAGTTGGACTTGAAGTTTGTAGACGAGTCTGAAAGTGTTGAAACTTTTCCCCTCGATGAGCGTCACCATCTTTGTTTATAGTTTCTTTAGGAAGAGGATCAGAACCAGTTCCCATGAGGTTTAATACAATAACAAGCAGACACCAACACACCAGCCCCCAGTGTAAGTGTATAAACATCCTGTAGAACTTAATGATATTCAAAGTTTTAACGGCCTTCTTGTTTGTTTATCTTTGTTTGTTTACCACATCAAACCCGCAAGTGTCAGAAACATGAGTCATTGATCATCGAGCGAGTTCTGTGGCGTGCCCTCTACTGGACTCCTCCAGTAACACGCCTAGCCTCAGCAAGTCTGCACAGGAACGCTCAGGACGCAGCCGGTTGTCGTCATGTACGTGTGGTGTCACAGGCGACGCAGAGCTGTGATTGGTCGGCGTGGTAGCGTCACATCTCCGGCAGAACCGCCGCCATTTTTTGAATTGAGTTGAAGGAACGAACACGGACGGCGTCTTTCTGTTCTTCGTTGCAGCTCTTATAGAAAAAGTAATCGCTCTTCAACATCTATCAGCTCCAGCTCGATCCCCTCAGTGACACTCGCCCTCGTTCTGAAGCAAACAGACGCCAGAGAGTTTGTTTGTGTGTTTGTCTGACTTGAGTCTAACTCCGTGGTGACGCTGGGTTCAGCGATGGGTTCCTGATCTGTGGTGGTATCGTCTTCCTGCCGTTGGTTTCACCCTCAGCCTGCGACCTGGTGTCCCCTCAGGCTCGGGTGTGGTTGTGTGGATTAGTCACAGGCGCCTTATTGTTACCGTCCGCCTCAGGGCTGCGTCCCATCAAGTGTTAACAAGGACTCCAGCTGCTCAGGGATCCTGCTGCTGACAGTGTCAACACGTCGATCCACGGAGAGTAAACAGTAAAGATTTAAAAAAGAAACGATTCGGTGCCGGAAACAGCCTCAGAAGTGCTGAGGTCACTCAAACGCAACCCCAGAGTTTCAAACTAAAACGTTTACACAAGTCTCAGATTTAGCGCCTGCAGAACTCTGGAGCATTGTGGACGCCAGGCGTAGCCATAGCAACAGCGGCGCATCGTTAAACTAAAACATTGATGTGGCCTCTGCTTCCTTAACGTCTCCTCCTCAGACTCCCTGCTCGTCTCTGTGGCCGGCATGGCTGTCTACACCGGCTACGTCTTCATGCCTCAGCACATCATGGCGATCCTGCACTACTTCGAGGTCGTCCAGTGACACGATGACTCCGTCCGTCCACCCGCTGGTCCCCGTCTGTCTCTGGCTTCCTGTCTGTCCATCTGTCTGCCTGCGTGACTGCCTGTCTGTCTCTCCTGGGTGTGAGGAGGGGATTGTCTCTCCTCCTTTCCACAGCTAATTTAATATCATAGGTCAACTCTGTGAACGTCGTGCTGGCGGCCATATTGGACGGCGTTAAACTCCGGGACTGCTTCTCCTTCACTCGTCTGAGATGTTCTGATGTGAACAGTGTTGGGTTCGGAGTCAAGGCCGCGGAGGACTGAGCTAAGTTTTGTCTTTTTAATCCCGGAATCAAGCGCACCTTGCAGTTAAAATGTCATCACACTGAGCTCTGTTTGGGTGGAGTGACTGGACTATTATATTTTTATTCCCTCAAGACATCAGAGTGTCGTCGGGTTAAGATTTTAATTCCGGAGCAGGAAACCGAAGCAGCTGATTGAGAAAATCATTTTTCTTTTTGATTGAGCCAAAGCTGAAGATCGTGGCAGCAGCAGATCTCTGAATGGATCCTGATTGTTGAGTCACATTGAACCAACATCTCCAGCATGTTTCAATCTCCTGTTTTCATCACAGACGCTGTAACGATCAGCTGAAATCCACAGTTTGAGTTTTGCACAAACACTGAACGCTAACATCTGCAGCGTCGCTGACTTCCTGTAGCAACAAAGTCAGTTGGTGGATGATTCCACAGTTTTCTTCAGCACAAACGTGACCAACGTCTGAATCAGTGAGTTTCTTTAATTTCTTTATGTGATTGGAAAATGTTTCGAAGACCGTCACCTGTAGTCGACGTGGCCTTAAACACAAACTTAAAAAACCTTCGATACATAAAGTTCGGTCTAATGTTCATTTAACGATACTTGTGAAACATTTAAAGATGATTCTTTAAAGAGAATTATTTGGCACCATGTATGTATTGTAATGTCTGTGTTGTTATTCTTTCTCAGCGTGTGTAGTTTTATTAATACTTTTTGTTAATAAACCTACAAACTGGAACCGATCTCTGATCCGACTCAAGATCAACGTCAAATATTTTCTCGTCTTTGCTTTTTCTCTGGAGTTGTTTTACTTTCAGGCTTCGGTTTACGCAGCTCACACGTTTCAGATCCGCTAAATCAGAGAAGTTCGGAAACGACACGTCGATAAAACGTTCGTGCTTCTTGGTTTTAACACGTGCGCTGGCAGCTGTTCGGTTCGGTCGAAGTCTGATTCGTGTAAAAGTGCAAACAGATGTTTTGGTCTCGTTGCTTTGTCATTTTGAAAAACAGTTTGTCACTAAAGCGCAATGAATCCTGGGACAGGTTGGTCTCGAGAAGGATCCACCCGTTGGAGTCTTGGTTGCTCGGGGGGGAAAGGTCACTCTTGTCGGAGACTCTGAAACGGGACGGGCTAGTTGTGCTGCTGTGACGCAATCTGTCTTCAAATGCAGCCTCTGACGGATGTGACCTCTGAACTGAGTCTGAGCAGAGAGCTGCTGTTTTCTTTCTGTCGGAAGCATCTGATCACTTTGTAACATGCTCCAAGTCCGTCATGTATTTATTGCGAGTAAATGTAATTAACAGCTTTATTATTTTCCACTTTCCATAAATGAAACCAAAGTATCCTGGATACGATTGTGATCACACTGATGTTGATTAAAAAGTTAAATGCAGAAACCAAACTCCAGAAACATTTCTTTAACGTGTACTTGTTTTGTTTTTAGAAAAACTGTCCTTTAAATTCCCTCATTTAATCATAAACCACTCAACAGTTAACATCGTTTTCTTAACAGCTCCAATAAGAAACTAGATTCTGATCATTTTATACCACAGATATAATAATAATATTATAATTATATAATCCTGCAATTACTTTGGAATCTGAAGATCATCGATCTGACATTTGAATTAGAACGTGGAGCCCTGCATCTTATTTTATGAAATGTTCTGCTTCTGGTATCCCTCGGAAAACTTGTGATTATATCTCTCTATATTTTTTTCCAAGGTATTGTATATAATCTTGTATACACATTTGTAAAGTTTTGTAGTCGCGTAAGTTGGCGTATAGAATTAAAGTATTTGTGTTTTTTTGTGAGCTACTGATGCTAAACACAGTTCTATAACTCTGAGATCATTAAAGGGATATTTCACCATGTTAAAGCTGCTGTTCTTTTATTATTATTACTTTATTGTGAGTTGAACTCATCCATTCAAAGCTGTTCAAAGTTTTCATCATAAATCCAAAGGTGCAGCTGCTACTTATCTTTTATTGTCATTGTAATAAACAAGTTTATTTATTGGATAACGAGACGCAGGAATTTCTCACGTTTGAAAGCTTCTGACTCTTCAGCTGATCTCTTCAACAAGGTACATTTCATTTGATTGTTTTTATTCAATTTCAAAAATTTAAATTTTTTTTTGACAACAGTATTTTATTTCTTCAGTTGATGTATTTGCACTTATTCGACACAAGGTGGCAGTGTTTCCGTGTGATGAGTTCACAGAGACGCAGCTGATCCTCAGGAAACGTCGCCACCTGGTGGTTGTGGCTCTGAACTGCAGGAGGGTGCAGCAGGAACAGGTCGAGTCAGATTGTTTTTCAGTTGTTAACGGATAAATCTAGAGAGAGAGAGAGAGAGAGAGACCTTCATTCATCTGTAGAAAAGATGCAGGAGAACACGAGTCTACTGACGAGGACTGGAAACAACAGTTAGTTCATGAACATTCACACAATCACTTCCTCTTCAATTGTTTGTTTTCAGAGTTCAAGGTTTTTGATCATTTTTGAAAAGTTTGATCTTGAAGATTGTTTCAGTTGTTTGACTCTGAATCAGTCGACGTGTGAAAGAATCAGTTCATTTAAACTTCGATATAAAAACCATGAACCGTTACTA